CGGGTACACCTAGGCTGTTGGCTTAGTGAAGGCTCAGCTTTTAAAATGTTTGCAACTTGGAAACCAGAAGCTTGACACTGCTAACATCAAGCCAAAATGGACTGCATGTGGCTGCAAATAGACTGGAAAGAGTAAAAAGCAAGGAATATTTAGGTTTCAAGAGTTTTGTTGCGTAGATGTCATCATCTAACCCTGTGATTTACACTTGCATCTTCTCTGGCAAAGGAGGTCACTCAAGAATCACTCACTCATTATGTTGCAGCATGGCAAAATAACTGAACTGCGTTGATGCTTATACTATTGTCTTTTGAGGTAGTAGGATTTTTTACGCATCCTTGGGACGAGGACATTGCTGGTTAGGCCAACATTTATCGGCCATCTCCAGTTGCCCAAGGGAAGGTGGAGGTAAAATTTCTTCTTGAACTGCTGGAGTCCTTGAAGTGTAAGAATCTCCACAGTGCTGTTCGGAAGGGAGTTCCAGGATTTTGACTCAACAACAATGAACAGTGAAATATTTCCAAGTCAGAATGGTGCATGGCTTGGATGGAATTTGCAGGTTATATTGGTCCCATGCATTTGTGCTCGTGACCCTCTAGGTGGTAGAGTCTTGGATTTTGGACGTGCTATCAAAAGGAGGTTTGTTGAGTTACTGCAGCATATCTTTTAGGTGAAACAAGGCTGCCACTGTGTGTCACTGTGAAGCGTGTGAATTTTGAAGTTGGTGGATGGCACGTCAATCTTTGTCCTGGACAATGTTGATCTTCTCGTGTGTTGTTGGAACTGCAACCATCCAGGCATTTGCAGAGTAGTCCATCACATTCTTAACATGTGCCTTATCTTTTGGACAGACATTGGGAGAGAGGAGGCAAGTTATGCGTTGAAGTTGTAGCTTCTGACCAGTTCTTACAGTCACAGAAGGCTAGTCCAGTTCAGTTTCTGATCAGTGGTAATCCCACCTCATTGATATTTGGGGAATTCAGTGGTGGCAATGCTATTAAGGGACGATGGTTACTGCCTGGCATTATTGTACGGCATTAATGTTACTTGCCACTTAGCATCCCAAGCCTGGAAGTGGTCCATCACTGACCATGATTAAGAGCAGATCAATGCAACAGTAACTGGCCAGGAAGGATCTGTTAGGGTTTTTTTGGGACAGGGCTTATCCAGACATAGAAACATACAAAACAGGAGCTGGAGTAGGCAACTCACCCCTTCTAGCCGGCTCTACTATTCAATGCGATTCATGACTGATCATCAAACACAGTCTCCTGTTCCAGGTTCTGCCCCATACACTTGGATCCCTTTAGCCCCCAAGAATCAGATCTAACTCCTCCTGAAAAACATTCAATCTTTTGGCCTCAGCTACTTCTGTGGCAGAGAATTCTACAGCCTCACCACTCTCCAAGTGAAGAAATTTCTCTTCATCTCAGTTCCGAATGGCTTACCCAATATCTGTAAACTGTGACACCTGGTTCTGTACTCCCCAGTCATTAGGAACATCTTTCCTGCATTTACAATGTCTAGGCCTTTTAGAATTTCTATTTAGTTCTCACCCCCACTTATTGTTCTAAATTACTGTGAATACAGTCTTAGCCGATCCAGTTTCTCTTCATGTCCACCACGCCATCTCAGGAGTCAGTCTGGTAAACCACTGGTGCACACCCTCCAGAGTCAGAATAGCCTTTCTCAGGTAAAGAGGCCAAAACTGCACGTGATACTCTAGAGATATCGTTTCACCAATGCCCTGTATAACTGCAATTTTCCACATTGCCCATTTTGTACTGGAATGGATTGGGTAGAAGCATAGCTGGTTCATGTGCAAATAAATAGACTGTAAAATAAATGGCAATCAGAACAATGTCATGTGCTAGGTTTGACTCCAACCAATACAGCCCCATCTGAGTGGTCCTGGCAGAACCCAAACTCAAGACCTTCAAAGGTTATTGTTTATAACACTGTATAACTTTCTTTAACATAACTGCAGTGGTATTTCTTTGGCAGTCTAGAGTTCTAAAGACTAAAATGATTCACAAATATGATCAATAAGCCAATGACAGATTCCTATTCAAACAGCATGCTTTGAAATGAACTACAACGCAACTAGAACGCAACTAGAGATGAAATTTTACTTCCTGGATCATAGAGTCTTGATTTTAGTATCGTCCAAATATATTGCAAACTAGAAATTAACATTGTTACAGTGAAAGGAAAAGAAACACCATTGACAGGTGCAATTCAAGTATTGGCTCACAGTAGCTAATTATTATGTCAGCTGAATTTTGTAATCTTCCCACCACACAGTGTAAAAATCTAGCATGAGAATCACACAATGTAATACTGGCATATAAGTTGTTGTTGTTACATTCCAATAAATTTAGCTGCACGATTTTAGTTTTAATTGAGCAGAACTCTGAATATCCTGATCATTTTTTTCCTGCAGCATTCATAGAGCAGATTGCAAATCCTCCATTTTGTTGAGAATTTCTTACTTTCTCAAACTCTGCACGAATAATCAAAGCTAACAGGATTTTCTTATATGCTTAAAGAGTGCAAGTCAGAATGCAGAGTTGCAACCAAACCATTAGTAAAAAAATCAGCATGCTTTTGTTTTTGGAGAAATAAAATTAATCCAGTTAGTCAATCAGAAGGATTACAGTGGACAATCCACTGGACCAACGCTGCATTAGTTGAGTGTAGTTAAGCAATAATTTTCAAATCATGCGTATACAATCTTACCAACTCTTAATAAGCAGAGCAGAGGAAATAACTAAATGAATTGACTCTGCCAATCTTCCCTCAATATGTAATTTTCTTTTATCCTGCAATCATGATACAATTTAAAGCTTGAATCCTGGGTCATACAAATGTAGAGCTATGGAAACAATATTTTCCAATTGGAAGTTATTTATTTTCTGGTGTGACATGAGTTCTATGCTAGGTGCATGTGGATGCAACTATAGACTCCTTATACTGATGATGTCAGATCACTTCACTGAATAGTGGAGAACAGGCCTCAATATAGCTGAGACCATTTAAAGGTAGCCCGCACCACTTAAAGGGGCACAGTTTAGCTTCAGGAAACTATGACAAACGTTATGGTCAATGATAAATTTGCAAATGCTCTTCATTTTTCTAACAGTGCGCTGGAGAGCTTGGGGAGGGAGATTGTCTTTCGTAATAGAACAGTAGTTCTTAGCAGGCTGCAATATATCAAAGCAAGCATGCAGGTGAGTCATTTTTAGACCTTAACTGCAATGCAGGAAGATGATGAATAGCTGACATGTGATTCCTAATATCTTTCATTATACTCTGTCTGGGATTTCCAATACACCTTGTCCCTGTGCTCTTCCTATCTTCCTGTTACAGCAGCATTCTTCATCGCTCTCTACTCCAACCAATACTCTCCTCATACCTTTGCAATTACTGATGCACCAGAAACACCATTCTACCTTAAATGAACATGACCTGAAAGTACATTCTACTGACACAAATCCATTCCATTTGCAGTTGAAGTTCATACACAACAAAAGTGACATAGCCATCATTCATCCATGCACTGAGTCTATATTAATGACTAGCCAGACAGATTGCAAACAGAGATGTATCGGGAATGTTGAACCTCGCGACCTGGAGGACAGGTACTGCAGGATTTTAAATTACCTTCAGTTAATTTCCTTCACACTTAAATCTCACATTCTCACATTATGCTTGATACTGTGCTGCTGCATTCAGAAGCTACCCAGCTGTTTCTGCTAATCCATGTCATTAAAGGCTACCCTTGTTCCTTTCTTGACACCAGCTCATAAACTTGCACTACACGTTGCTCACCAGATTTAATTCTGAATTTGTTCACAGGCTGAGTATGCCTCTGGCAAGGCCAGCATTTGTTGCCAATCACTAATCATCCTCAAGGTGGTGAGCCAACCACCTTCTTAGTTCACCTTCAGTGCTGTTATCTAGGAGTCAGCACATGGACATACATACAAACAACAACAACTCGCAGTGTTGTTGTCATTAAGTTGCTGTCCTAAGTACCAATGGTCAATGTTGTGACGATGCTGGGGCTTTCAAGGAGGTTATTTTATCCTTTTCTTTTGAAGAGAGGTTGTAAGACAGAGCGGCAAGCTGTCTGTAAGAAAGTAAATAATTTGAGAGGCCTTGTGTTTTTTAAAAAGCTGGAACAGTGGAAGCAGCATGGGTGTGGCCAGCTCTCACAGACCAGGCTTTCTATCTTTTTAATACAGATTTTAGGTTCAGTTTTAAACAGAAGCCTTTGGGGTCTCAGGAGAGTTAGAAGCTTCAGTGAATGTCTCATAGCTGCTACTCTCTCTGAATTTTCTCTTGATGTTTTCTTCCTACTGGATTGGAGAACTGCATGTGAGAATTTGTGTCTGAATTTGCCTTTTTGCCAAGGGGTGAGTTTATGGAATGTTGTGTATTAGAACAGTTAATTAATACTATATCTATAATTCGGTTAAGTTTTCCAATAGTTGTTATTCTAAATTCCTCTTTCTTTAGTTTGTATTTTAACTACTGTATTTAAATGAATTATGTTTTTCTGAACATCGAGTAGTTTGAGCTGTCTCATTGCATCTGGAAAATGGCACTTCACATCTACTTTTAAAATAAGTAGTTAAGAGTCTAGGCTACCTTCTTAAAGTATTTTCAGGGGGTCTGGTCTGGTTCATAATTATGTTCAGTTATTACTACTCAAAAAAACCAGCCAGTAAAAACACAAACAGGTAACCAAATACATTAAGGAGCTGGACTCTGAATTAAGAGCAATTCATAAATAGGCATTAGTCATATCATCATTCATCAAATTACACAATGTCTTTTGGAGCAGTGTAGTTTTTATTTTATGTTTAGTTTAGTTTTACTTTAACTGTTCATCTTTACAAGCTTAGCTGTGCAATAAGAAAATGTGAAATTGTTCGAAGACAAGAGCAAAATACCACAGATGTTGACAATCTGAAATAACAACAAAAAAATTGGACAAGCTCAAGTAGTTAGGCAGCATCTGTGGAGAAAAACAGAATTAATGTTTCAAGTAACTGACCTTGCCTGAGTAAAACGTCTTGCTGTGCGTATTCACGAGCCCGAGTTATGCCTGTCTTTTTATGGGATATGTGAAACATCCATTATTCCAGTCCTATTCAGGATCCCTCCCTCATTCCTTTTTCTGGTACATTGAGGATACTCTTGCGAAAAACTGGAAAATTTCATCGACTCTGTTTCTAGTTTCCATCTTGCCCATTTAACTCTTTCCTTGCCTGTCCTGATTTCACTGGCACAAGCTCTGAGGATATGTTATTAATGATTACGACAAACCCACAGACTCCCACAGTTAATTCGTCATGCATGAATTTTTGTCAATACTTCAGCCTGTTCACCACTTTCTCTAACACGTCCACTTTGGTGGCACCACATTTCACATATGTATAAAATTACACTATTCAAGGCTTGGTCAAATGCAAGAAAATCAACGACAGTGGAAAGATAATTCAGGAGAATTTCTTCTGAGTTTTTTTATTACTCTGGACTGGCAGACCCAACACTGCTGGCATTGTGCAGTAACGCTCTCTGAACTGTTTTCCACTGTGACCCCATTTTAACGCTTGAAAATTAATCAGAATGCAGATGCCAGAAAAAAAAACTGCAAATAAAGCAGAACAGCAACATTTAGCACATAATTCTTGAAGTGTGCATATACATCAATATAATTATACATCATGTGAAGAAAATCTGTATCTTTGAAATACTTTGTAAAAATGTTAATTTATATATTCATGCAACTTTCTGCCAAGCTCTCCAGATTCCCTGGTGACAGACAACCCAGTGAAGCCCATCCCCACACATAACAGTATTCATTCCACTCCTTACCACCACAGACATATATTCCCAGTTGCTCTGCACTTCTTCCACACACAGATCAGCTCATCTTCTCAAACGCCCTCAGACATATAGTTACTTTCTTTTCAACCTCTCTCCATATCCCACACACTCACCAACCCTTGTTCCCCTGCTCTAATTGACAAGCAGAGTCACAAGCACAAGGTAAGTAGCTTGTGGAACAAGCAGACAGGAGAGTCATCTCTCACCATCCTGGCTCAACCACAAGTTAGTTATTTATTTCCATACCCTGGACGCAATTAGGACCCAAGTCATATTAAATTCATTTCTGGCCCAGTCAGTTAAATTACACTGTTAAAAACATTTCTTGAAGTTAAACAGCACTTTGGAATAACTGCTCCATTGTTTAATGCAATTGATACAGCAGGTCCAGCGGTGTCCCATCAGTATCCCTGAACAGGGCTGTCTCCTCTCCACAGGCACCACTGCTGCTCAGAGAACGGGGAGTCCCCAACCCCAAATGAGACCGTTGCGACCGACATTTGAAGGATCCCACCTGAGCTGACAGACAGTGGATGATAATGGTTTAGTCAAATAGAACTCTTGTTCCTGCATGCTTTCCATTATATGGATGCTTAGAGTTTGTGCCTGGATTCCTCTGAAGTATTTAACAGCACTGATAAGGAGAAAGATCGCATCCCCAGAATCTAGCTTGCCAAACGGATGGAACTGAGGATTGGGATACTTAAAATCATCATGAATATATCATAAAAATGTCGATTTACATGAGGCACAGCCTGTTGACACAAGATGAACTTTCAGTGAATGCAAGGCCTTCATGTTGAAATATTGCTGGCACATGATGGAAAGCACAGAAACCTACATGCATGATATCCAGCACCAATGGAAATTAGGAGTGCAAGCAAATCCTAGTGCCTTATTACTGCTCGTCATTAAGGTGGTAATGGGCTGCTGAAAATTGCAAATAGCGCATCAGTGACCTGCAGGACCACTGAGTGCACAGCAAACAGGTGAGGTCATGAGAAACAGTTTAGAAGGACACACAGCGATACAAGTTTAGAGTTACATGGACCATCACTTAGCTCCAATTCTCACTTTGGAAGCACAGGCAAGTGCTCATTTCCCAACAACTTTACACATCACTCCTCCGAGATTCAGTAGTGATATTTTGTTCTTGAAAATCCAAATATTGCAAAGTTTCCTTCTCCATCTTCCTGAAGTTGGTATGGATCTTTTGCTACTGCTCCTTCCTCTGATTTAGCAATTTTAAGTGGTAAACTCCGCAGCATTTTCATGTTCAACAATTGAGAACAAACAAATCCTCTGAATAAGTTCTCGCTCTCCAAAAATTCACTCTGCAAGTCTCTCACAAGCGAATGCTTCTGAGAAACCTCATCTAAAAGGGCCCAGCACAGCTAAAAGAACTGACTATCCTGTCACTTAACTAAATAGAAGTGGGATTTTTTTTTTTTTTTTTAAATTTGGTCCAGTGCTAGATGCTTCCTCTTAAAATTGATGGGCAAGTTAACAGAATGCATGTTTTAACCATGCCAATGCATTAATTTCATTAAGGGGTCCTACTGCACACATAGTACCCTTATTAACACAGTTAACTCATGCCTGTGTCTTGATTCAGGCAGCCATCAGGGATAGATACAGCACCAAAACCAATATGGTGTTGTGCAAATACAGAATGTAATTTCAGTACAGAAAATCATGCTGCTTTTCTTTGTGGCATACAATTGGACCTGGAACTTGTGCAGTAATTAATTTCTACCCTGTCATAAATGCAACGGTATAAAAGCAACTTAAAAAAAACATACTTTTTGGCAGGGACAGTTTTCTGGAGATTCCAAAGCTTAAGGGTGTGGTCTTCAGAGGCTGTAACCAGCACAGGCTCTACAGGATGAAAAACTAATGCACGGACTCCATCAAAGTGACTCCGTAGTGTGTACTTGGGGTTCCATGTCTTCCTATATGCATCCTTATTAGCAGGTAACTGAAAATGAACATATGGTTAAAAATATATTACGTAGCTGTACCATACCCAGAATCAACACGTAATATTGGAAAAAAGGAAACAATCTTCACAAGTTATCCCTGCTTCCACACAAAGTACACTGACTATGAGATTTTCCAATAGGGATGAGAACTGCAGTATAATGCTGTGTACTGTATTTAAACAATAGGGAAGACCACAATGTGATCTCTAACATGAGTTTTATTCATTCAAGGAATGGGGGCATTGCTGTTTAGGCCAACATTTATTGCCCGTCCAAAATTGCCCTACAGCATGTGAATTGCTGCAATCCATGTGGTGCATGCACACCCATAAAGCTGACAGGGATGGGGTTCTAGGATTTTGTCCCAGTGACAATGGAGGGACCAGCAATGTACTTGCAGTGCAAATTATAGGATGGTATACACTGCTACCACTGCACAAATGATCAAAGGAAAGAATGCTGAAGGTGTCAGATGGAATGAAAATCAAACAGACAATTTGTCTTGGATAGGGTCTAGCCTCAAGTGTTGTTGCAGCTTCAACCATTTGACAAGCTGAAAATATTTCATCACATTTATGACTTATGCCTTGTAAATGGTGGACAGGCTTGGAGAGTCAGCAGGTGTTATTTGCCTCTGAATTCATAGCCACTGACGTGTTCTTGTAGCCACAGCATTTTAACGACTAGTTCTGTTCATTCCAGAACCTAGTCAATGGTAAACTTGATGGCTGGGAATTGGGAAAGTTGATAGTTGGGAATTCAGCGATGCTAATAACATTAAATGTCAACAGGCGATGGTTAAATTTTCCCTTGTTGGAGAGAGTGATTGCCTCGTACTGGGTGTGGTGTGAATGTTACTTACTATTCACTGCCCCAAGCCTGTCTGTCTATTTCCAGGTCTTACTGCATTTGGATAGCTTCAGTATCTGAGAAGTTGAGAGTAGTGCTGAATGTGATGTAGTCAGTAAAGGCAGGGGCTTTTGACTTCAGGTCAAAGGTTTGGCCTGGGACACTACCCTAAGGAACGCCTGCAGCGATGTCCTGGGAACTGACCTCCAACAAACATACACATCCACCTTTATGCTAGTTCTATCTCCTAAAAAGTTTTCCCCTCATTTCCACGGTCTTCAATTTTGATACGGCTTCTCGATGGCCACAATCATTCAAATGCTGAAAAAAAACCTGAAAAAACTGTGGATGCTGTAAATCAGGAACAAAAACAGAAGTTTCTGGAAAAGCTCAGTAAGTCTGGCAGCATCTGTTCTGAGGATTTGAGCATCTGAGGAAGGGTCACCGGATCCAAAATGTTAAGTCTGATTTTTTTTTTTCCTTCACAGATGCTGCCAGACCTGCTGAGCTTTTCCAGCAATTTCTGTTTTTGTTCCTCATTCAAATGCTGCCTTGATATCAAGGGAAATCACCCTTACTTTCTCTCCTAAGCTCAGTGCTCTTCTCCCTGTGCACACCAAGGCTGCAATGAGGTCAGGAACTGATTGGGCTTGGTAGAACCAAAAGTTAGTGTCAGTGAACAGGCTATTGCTGTACTTTCCATTGTTTTGTTGATGACTAAGCATACACTGATGAGGTGGTATTTGACCAGGTTGGATTTATCCTTTTCGTAGACAGGGGATAGTGAGAAAATTTTCCACATTATGAGATAGATATCTCTGTGTATTAACTGCATTAGAATTGCTTGATTAAGAGCACAGCTATATCACATTCAAACTGATAGTGTTATCAAGCTGCCCGTCACATATTTGAAATGTAAAGCTAAGAGCAGCTTCTTTACTCTATTACATCTTCTTAAATTGTTGTCTCTTTTCTGTGCCGGTACAGTAGGAATGGCTACTCCAGTTCCAAATTCTATGTTTGAATAAGTTCAGCACCCTCGTCTTTAACATCAATTGCGAGGAGCTCATGGACTTCTTTGCCACAAAGTTTAAGACTATACAATCAGGTACTTTCGTCAAGTCTCCTTCTTCCACTAACCTATCAGATCAAGTTTCCTTTCATGTATACCCCATTCCTCAGCCTGGATTTTTTTTAGTCTTTCTCTACCTCCCTTCTTCAAGGTCATCTTGTTCATGGGATCCAGCTCCTGCAGCCTCTAACCTGTCGAACAAAACTAGCCCTCCTCATCCCATTGTTACACTAATTGTTATTTTTAATGATTCACTCTCTCTACATGTACTGTCTATCTTGTTTAACTCTGTCATAATCTTCACCTTTGGAAAACCAAACTCATAGGAAATTACTGTCCCAATATCTCTTTTTTGTAATCGTAACTGTCTCACAAGTCTGTGCCCATCTTCCCCAGAACTCTATTTGAAACCCTCAACCCTTGAAATATTCCTGCACTGATCCTTCTGGTGTCCCCAAGGATCGATCAGTAGACTTGGTTCTTGTCCTTATCCTGCCTTTTTGCAACATCATTAGTTTCCAAATGTGCACACAACTTTCTATTTTATGTTTTTGATTAGACTGAATACGTGAAAAGACATTTTTAAAATCAAGAACTGGGGAAGGATCTGCTACAGATTTGAAACAAGTTACTGGAACTTAGAAAATTGTGTTTGCACTGTTGCTTTTCAAGCAATGGGGCAGGTGGCAGTTAGATGGGTGGGTGCGTATGTGATTCAACCAACAAAAGATTGCAGATTGGTCTGTGTAATTATGGATTATGTTATGGATGCCAGAGATCTTCAGCCTGATGCAACTTTCTGATTGGCTCCCAGGTAGGTGAATAGCTTGGGTGTTTACAACAGACAGGCAGAAACCTTTACATGGAGACCATGAACATAAGGTCTTCAGAAGCGACTTCGGAAGCAAAAGGAAGACCATTTTGAAACCCGCTTCCCTGTCTTTTTTGTAATTCCGTCCATAACACCAATGTGTTTTTAAGTTTGTCTGTATCTGTCTTTGCATGTTTGTAGGGGGTTAAAAGGAAGGGAGAATGAGTTTCATCATGTTGATAGTTCAACGTTTTGTTTCCATATGTCTAGGACTTATTTATTTGTAATAAATAATAGTTCTTGTTAAGTATGAAACCTGGTCAGTATTTTCTGTTAACCTGACTCCATCAGATAGGTAAACAAGGGACTTAGCATATTTTGATTAAACCATTAACTTTTGTGGCAATTGTGGGTGTAGTGGGTCTAGGGGAATTAGCATCCTTTCACAAGTGGGATGTAACAACTGACAACATAAAATTTCTTCTAATTAAATGGTGGCGAGACTGAAAATGTTTTTGGCCCCTACTCCAAACTCCATTCCTTGGCTACCTCTCTCTCCGGTGACAGTCTAAAACTAAACCAGTCGGTTTTCTACCTTGGTGTCATATTTTACTCAAGATGAGCTTCTAAGAATCTTCATAACTTCACCCATTTCACCTGGGGCTAAAACCTTCACTCAGGACTTAGTTACCTCCAGATAGGATTATTGCAATATATTGTGGTTGGTTTCCCACTCTGTATACTTCATAAACCCAAGGCCACCCAAAACTCTGCTGTGCATGTCTTAATTTGCACTAAATTCATTTCACACATTAGCCCCCTGTGGCCACCCACCTATTTTGATCTGAGAAAATTCTTGATTTTAAAATTCTCAACCCTGGTTTTCAAATCCCTCCAAAGTCTCACCCCTTACTGCCTGTAATCATCTTTAGCCTCAAAACCCTCAAATATCCATTTAATTCTTGCCTTTTGAGTATCTCTGGTGGCGTTTAATCACTGGTGGCTGTTCCTCCAGTTGGCTGGACCCTAAATACTTCCTGATACCTCTCCACAACCGATCGCGCTTTATGTCTTTAAGTCATTTCTGAAAACCAATCTCTTGATCATCTAACGAAATTCCCCATGTGGCTTGGTGGCATTTTATTTCATAATACTCCTGTCAGGTACCTTGGGATGTTTTTAGTATAAATGTACTAAATAAAAATCATTTTTATTACACTTGCTTATCGTTATAATGACTGGGATCAAAACAAACAAAACCATCCCATGTGCCAGATATGATTCATCACACTGGAGAGTCTGCCTTTGTGCTCATCACTTATACTCAGGTGTATTGGTATAAAACTCAGCCAAATGGTGACTTGATTTTGCGGTCAACTAGTTAGACTTCACCACATTCTGTTATCTTGCGTCAATGACTTCATCTGGTCTCTAACACTCATGTGGACTTCATCATGGTTGAATAAGGGAATATTCCTGTTACGTATTCAATTCACGAAATGAAACTAAGCACCTTAGCATCAAGACAGTATGAATCTTAACAGTAACACCGAAGGGACTCAACAAAACAGGTTCACAGGGATTCAGGGTAAAATCTCCACAGGATAAGGCTTTACCTCACACGAAGGAAGCTAGTTGCAGTTGTTGGAGACCAATCGTCTCAGGCCGAGGATAGTGCTGCTGGACTTTTCAGGATGGTGTTCAAAGTGCAAACGTCTTCAGGTGCTTCATCACTGACCTTTCCACTAATGTATTAAGTGGGGATTGCTTGTTGATGGTCACACCTTTGTTCAGTCTTGCGCACAACTCTTCAGATAATGAAGCAGTTTGTGACTACATGCAGCAAGACCTGCCCATAAATCCAGGCTGATACTCTACATAGAGAGAATTTTATCATCTATCCCTGATATTCAATGGCATTACCATTGCCAAATCCCCAATCATCAACATCCCGGGACACCGTTCTACAGAAATTTAACTAGTCCCGTCACATGAAACAGTAGATTTAAGAGCAAGTCAGAACCTGGACATGCTGCAGTGAGTGATTACAGATGTCTAAACCTGCTCACCATCTACAAAACACACAGTAAGGTATTCAAGAAAACAAAGAAGCTCACTTAATCAGCTACCAGACATTATGGCTTTAACACGTACTATCTAGATGATGCACTCCCACAATGATTTATTTCTACAACCTCTCTCAAACTTTCATTTACTATCATCTTGTAGTGCAAGGGTAAGAAGTTCATGGGGATGCCACCATC